TTGCATTTGGGATCCAGGTCCATTTGTCACCTGGAGGAAGGGCTATACATTTATGTTTTTGCAGAATAAAGCTGATGGACTCCCCTTAGAAGGACGCGACCACGTTTGGAGAAAGATGGATATGAAGGAACCACAAAAGCTTAATCATAATTCTGTTTCCAGGTCACCGACACTCTGAAGAGAGGGGCTATTTGTTTATATTTTCACAGGCAAAGGAGATAGGTGGATTTCTCTTCAGCCAGCAAGGCCCAGAAGAAAAGAGGGAAGCTGATGCATGACCTGACCCTGTCCTGCTTACTGAAGTTATCCAAAACGTCAAGAAGACCTCGCAGATTCCTGAGAATGGAGATTGCTGACTGCTGAGATATTTGTCCCATTGCTGATGCTGTCTAAGGGACACTCTGGGACATTGTCAAAGCTGAATATTTTATACAATAGTGACTTGACTATTACTACAGATCATTCTTTTGCTGAAAGATCAAGATTTTGGACTTGTCAATGCTGTCATGTTACTGGAATGTAACTGATTTTTGTATAACCCCTTACCCATATAATAAGACATTGCACGATTGGTATTTGACTAGGAAACATTTGCAAGGGCTTAAGGGAAATATTTCATTAGCTGTGATTCAGCTAAAAAGATCTTTCTATACATTCAAGGGTGGATTTAAGACATTCCACTAGCTGAGGTATTTAAGCAATTGGTGAATGGTATAGAAGGGTTGGATCCTCGCGCTTGGGCTCAAAGTATTTCCTATAGCTTAAGTTCCAGTCTGCCTGTGTTAATACTCATCGTCATTTTGATGCTCGCAGTCTCATGTCGCTTCTATAGGAAGCTAAGAGATATGAAGAGAGACCATGTTGCCTCCGTGACACTATTAAATCTTAAATGTAATGCAGAAAGGGGAAATGTGGGATATTAGCACTGAGGGAAATAAAACTGGGACTTATTCCCTGACTGGTATGGAGGGAATCTGGAAGACTAGTATTCCATGGCAGGAAGGCCACCACGCTGGTAGTTGGAGATATAGTCCGAGTACAATTTCCTGTGGTAGTCTTATCATTTCCACAGTTTCTCCCGCTAAAGCTGTGCTACCTTAAAGTGAGCACATGGTTGATTCAATCTCCCTATAGAGGCAGACTCTATTGGCTCCATTTCCTCCCACTGCAGCGTCCAATCCCTCTCGTACCTTCCTCCAATAGCAGATAGGCTTTAGGGGGACTTTATCCCCACGCCTGGATTCAAGATGTTTGCTATAAGTCTGAATGTTTTGGCTATATTAATTGGATCACTAAGTTGTGCCTTGAAAGCTTTCAATGTATAGAAAATAACCATGTTGCCCATGTGACTCTTTTGAATTTTATATATAAAACAAAAGGAGGAATTGTGGGAAACAGAAAGATTTCTCCCAAGTTGTCTCCCCAACATATGTTAGACTTAGGACACTGCTTGCAGCTAATGGGAAATGATGGTCAAGTTACCTCCCTGAAGGCAGTCAGTTGCCAAACAACTGTCTGGACTGGTAGGGCCTGCTCCTGCTGTTAAAGGCAATGGGCTACTTCTCTCTAAAGGCTTACAATCTTCGATTTAGTGCCTGTAGGTGGAGTTTTATACTGTACTGATAATGGTTTCTATAGTGAGTCAGAGAACAGGCCAAACCAGCTCAGTCACATCCAGTTAGGCTGCCATCCTGAATCTAGGATCCGCCCATCTTATCACATGTATACCTCCCCTTCCAATTACGTGAATAGCCCTAAATCACCCCCTCCCATCACTGTATTACCTATAGCACAACCCTTTCCTGTGATGTATGTCTTCACCTGTAATTAGGGGGCTTGCATGTTCCCAGAGAATATAAAAGCCTTGGTGAGCAATAAATCTATCTCTCTCCACATGGACCACCAAGTGAGGCTGAGGTGAGCATGCTACTATGAACTGTGTCTGACTCCATTCTTTCTATCTCTCTTCTATCTCTCATGCCTTCTATGACTTCACTGTAATCTTTAATTATTATTGCTGTACACTTGCGCCTACCAGACCCGTGATGATGTGTTAGGGGCTGGATTACCCTGACAAGTAGCTAGTCAGATTAAGCCTCTGGCAGATGCCCTCTAGCCGCAGGCCAGGGTCTAGAACAGCATTACTATCAGACAAAGAACACTGTAAACTGGAATATGCTGGGTGGAACTTGATGCTTGGTCAGTTGACCTCCCTCTTGACCCAACCTGAATTTGTTCTAGGCTCAAGTACTTTTTTTTCTTCTTCTTTTTCTTGGCTCAAGTAGTATTTCTTGACAAAAATTGTCTTCCCTGGTTTTTAAAATATTGATGGTGGTCTTTTCTTACTCATTAGTTGTACTGTTATCTTTAGATTATTATTATTTTATCCTTGCCACATTATTTGTTTTTGTTTTTTATTGTTCTTGTTGAGTTTCCCAGTTTGTGAGGCAAAGAAGTAGATGCACTGAGATAACAACTGAAGCAAGGATTTAAAGGGGATGTAAGGGTGGGGGGGGGTGGAGATAGGGAGGGTGAAGGGATTTGGGGAGCAAACAACGAATTTGGGAGGTGAGGGAACACTAGAATGGATTGTGATTATACACTTCATTTTTTTATATATATACAACTCATTTTAAAAGAGATTAAACCATGGAAGTATATGATATGTGAATATTATATCAAAAAACCATGAGAGAGAGAGAGAGAGAAATAAAAAAACCAAACTTGACCAATCGTTGCCATGCGTGAGGGGGAAAGAGCAGCTGCATGGGGAGCATTGAGTTTGTGTCAATGGAGGTAGAATAGTTTGGTAAAGGATAACAATAGTGTCTGTACAGCACAAAAGGTCTAATCAATGACACCGAACTATACAACAAGCAGAAGTTGTGGAATTGAAGTATGTTCTGTTGTGTTTACTTCAGCCACAATTAGAAATAATAATAAGAATTACATGAAGAATGATGAGTACAAGGAAGAAGGAAATGTTCTAGAATTGAATATGATGACAATTGTACAGCTCTCCTTGACATGATTCAATTACTGAATTGTAGGATATATGGATGAAATGCTAATAAAACTGTTTTTTTTTAATCTAGTTTAAACAAAAACAAAAAAAAACAAAAACAAGAAAAAAGGTGTAGGGGTGGAGTCTAGCCTGTCAGTCAGCCTGATGGTGCCTCCCTGTGGGCATGGCCTTCTCATGAGGAGGGCACAGGGAACCTCCATCTCCTCTTCTGCCTTCACCTTCCTGCTGGCTGACCCTGATTGCTGCCAGAGACCTGTGATGAGTACACCGCACGACTCTGCACCCCTCAACCTGTGATCTTCCTGAATCATTGCTGTGACTGTGTGAGTCTGAAGAGGGACTTGTGGACTAGTACTGGACTTATGGACTTGAGTTGGACTGGGATGTTTTCTTGATAGATAATTACTTCTTGGTATAAAGCTCTTTCTTATATGAGCGTCACTGGATTTGTTTCTCTAGTCAACCCAGCCTAACACAGTAAGCCAATGTTATCATTGATGCTCAAAGAGGTAGCATTGACTATTTAAGGTCACACAGCAGTAGGTAGAGAGGGGAACCGGAGGCGTAGGGCTCTGTTCTCACTGGGTTCTCCTGCTAGTGCCTCACCCAGAGTTGCTTGCAACTAAAGGTAACCACAAGATTGGTGGTTCAAACCCACCAGCTGCTCAAGGGGGAAAAGGGGAAGCTGCCTGCTCCTGTAAAGATTTCTAGTCTTGGAAACGTCTACAGCAGTGGTTCTCAACCTTCCTAACCCTTTAACACAGTTCCTCATGTTGTGGTGACCCCCCCAACCATAAAATTATTTTTGTTGCTACTGCATCACTGTCATTTTGCTACAGTTATGAATCAGGCGACCCCTGTGAAAGGGTCGTTTGACCTCCCAAAGGGTCGCAACCCACAGGTTGAGAACCGCTGCTCTATAGGGTCGCAATGACTTGGGATCAACTCCCAGGCAGTGCATTTGTGTTTGCTTTGCACTCGGTCCAGATCGCACCTTGGGAGAAAATGAAACACCCCAAGGACTCCTTCTGAGTTGGGAGCTAACTTTTTGTGTTGCTCTCTGTTCCATGAGAGACTTCCTCCAGTTATTCAAGCTCTTCCCAATACATACAGAGCGATCTCCTTACCGTGGAGCTCAAGGCTTTTCCAATTCTGGAATTTATACATCCCGGAAGACTCACCACTAGTTTCTCCCATTGGTTCTGATTTGTTGCCAAAAACCCAAATCTGTTGCCTGAAGTCCATACCAACTCCTGGTGACTCCGCGGGACACAGTGGAACCACCCTGGGGTGGTGTATGGAAGCACATGGTCACCTCTCCCCACCAGGAAGCCATTGCGTTCCAACTGCCCACCATTCAGTCAGCGCATTTGGACCAGGGAGCCCATAGGGCTCCTTGTTGGTTGCAATTTCATATTCATGAAGAAAAATTAAATGTCTCCCACCGTTATCTGACTAGCTCGTTTTTCACTCCCGTGGCCCAAATATGGACAAGGAAAACGGCATCTTAACCACTTCCTTCAGGCAAGGGGTAGCAAAAGCTGGCAGATGCTTCCCTGGCTCGGGGGTCCTGGACGTCTGTGGATGGTGGGCTTCTGACGACCCCTAGACGCCTAAAGGGAGGAGGGGAGGTGACCTTTATCATCTGACTGGCAAACAAGAAAGCAGGGCCCTGGGGGGAGAACAAGATTTTGAAGGAAATGCACGGAGCTATTTATGCAAACCATATGCAAAGGAGGAGCTGGCCAATTATGGAGTTCTTTTGGGTGGAGCCGTTAGGAAAATTCTTCTGCAGACCGCTGTTCAGAGAAAGGTACTGGGAATCTAATTTTGACATCGACTCTCCTAACACATTGTAAGGGGGGGGGCAGTCCTCTAACACTCGAGCCTCCGCCGCCAACTCCACACTCTCAGTTTTCAGGTGTGGTGGCGCCTGTCGCCTGGGGCCTGGGGTCGGGAGAGCCCCCCACGCAGGGGAAAAGCAAACCCACCGCCCGAGTGTGTGCACGCCCACCCTCCGCCTGAAGGTAGGGGCCCTTTCTGGCACGGCTCTCCCACCACTGGCTT